GTGCGCTGGGGCCGTCAATCGACAAGAGTGCCAAAATTACAATATCAGAATCCTATATGTCACATGTGACAGGCAGTACAATCAAGACCTTTTTTGAAAAATTTTCATAAAAACACAGGTACAACGCATCAGTGTCAATTTGTTAGAGTCCTCGAATGATAAATACTTGAAAGAAACCGGGCAAAAAGAATCCCAGCCGAAAAACGAGCAACTAGTTCTTCGTACTCGACGTCATGCGCCCATTCTACCTAAAAGAGATGACCAGGTAGAATATATTAAACAAAGCAGACTTTAAAACCATAGTAAATACCTTTCCCCACGATTCTATCTGAAAATGCTGCTCCAGTAACGCTGCTTTAACCGCTTTAGGCGCCTCCATGTAAAATTCCAGTACAGCTAACGTTAGCAGTAAAGATTTTATACTTTCAACTGCAAACTGTATACCCAACAAAGCCTCAAAGCTGTAACTTCGAAGAAGGTTGGCAACAATCTTCTTAGACTCACTGCTTACTTCAGCTACTAAAAAACAACAAGTGGAAGATATTACACTAAAAGACTTTCTTTGCTAATTCCCAAACTATAACAGTCCTCAAGAAAGCAAACTTTCGGCAACGTTGTAGGATGGTCTCAGATTTATACGATGCCGTTCCGAAGCCCAGGCAATAACAGGATCCCAATGAGCTTCCTGCAGACTCTTCAATTTGTCGTTTTCTTCAGAACGATAAAGAACGGTGTCCGTTTCCAAATAATTCATAACATTTTTGATTACGTCTTCTCTGTAATAAAGAAAACTGTTATACGAACTAATTGAATAACAAGTTTTTTTGTACAAGTAAACGTAGTGAAGAAATTTTGCTCCACTACTTACCATACACACTATTTTTTCGCTTGCTGCTGCAACTTACTTCGTAAACAAGATAATCTCCGAAAAGTTGCGCACAAGTTAATAAGAAAATTCCAAAGTGCTACTTCATTATGCTGCAGTATCTATCACTATATAAATTGAGAAGCATTTTCTAGAACCAAACTAAGATAAGTCAAAAATATTGGAGAAAACCTCAGAAACG